CCCCTCCCTTTGCAAGAATACAACAAAAACAAACAAATAAAACAAACACACGAAACAAATAAACTCACAAACAAACAAACAAAACAAAATTCCGTCACATAAGCTTTGGTTGCTGTTAGACAGATGTTGCATGTATGTTGCGTCGGTGGCCTTGTGGTTAGGCTCTCGAACTCGCAACCGTAAGGTCGTAGGTTCGAATCCCGTCAAGAGCCCGACGTTGTGTCCTTGGGAAAGACACTTTACACGAATTTTCCTCACTTCACCCAGGTGGGAATGGGTACCCGGCTATGGACAGTGAAAGATCCTGTCAGTTTGTTAGTGTTTGAGCGCTTAATCGGCTGCTTGCACTGTATGCTTCCCTGGAAGCTGAGAATGTTTCGGAGTGTTCTATGGTCTGCTGGGGTAATGATATAGTGTAAAGCGCATAGAGCCTGCTGCTGAGCGGGGATATGCGCTTTACAAATGCTATCTATTGTTATTATTATTATTATTTAGTTGCTGTTATTAAGTGAACACCACTTTTTAAGTCGTTGCATTCCAGTTACAGAGCTCTATCTTACATTTTTGGCCTTTGTGAGTCACTAAGACCATAAGGTCAGAAACCAAATGTCTGCTCTATCAAAAGTTTAAGTGGCGCTCATATGACCTTATGCAGTTGCGAGAGCCGTAAAACCCTCTACTATAATAATAAAAATAAAGTTTAAGATTATTTGGAGTCGTTATCAAGATATTCAAAAAATTGCTTTCGACAAAGTTTGACATGTTGTAAAACTCAATTTTTTTAACATCACATTTCTCAAAAAAAGGTAGAGCAACTGAGCAGATAGACCTTCTTAATTCTAAGCTAGCAAATTGTCTCCCTGCGCACTATCACAAGTCTTTCTCGCATGACCTCCCAGCGATGACAGAGACTGTGTAGAAATCAAAGAAATATTTATATACACGTACATGTAGTAGTAGTAGTAGTAGTATAGGGTTTTACTGCTAAGGTCATATGAGCGCACGTACATGTAATAGGATAAAGAAAATTATTTATGTAATAAAACATGACTTTTCAACATTGTATAACAATATTTTCTGTTCTGTTTTTTGTTTTGTTTAGTTTTAGTTTTAGGATGAGTTATACGACTCTTGCAGCACATGTAGGTGATATCAGTGCCGAAGATTTGAGGTGTGACTTTTAAGTAAGTTTTTTTCAGTAAAGACCATTTGCCCATATCAAATAAAACACTCCTTTTATTGAATAGCTTTTCCACAATGAAACAGTACAGGTTGTGCACATACCTCTTCTAATGGGTCAAACATTGAATTTTTCTGTCACTCGGCCGAGTCAGACTGGATTGGAGGGGGTGGGGGGTGGGGGGTAACAATTTCTTTTCATAAGCAAAATTTGTACAGTCAAAAAACGAAAGTGAAATTAATTTCATCTTCAATTTCGTGAAAAGTACACCCGCTCACATAAAGGTGAATAATTTATTAATGTCCACCGATACAGAATGGAAGGCTATGAATTTTTAACAAGGTGACACTCGAGAGTCAAATTTAATTCAAAGAGAAAAAGGAGGAGAGGTGATTCAGTGACGTTAGCTGTTTTTCCTGCATGGACATTGCATCCCTCTGAGCAGAGATGGCGCTGAAAGACAGTGTAGAAGCTTGCCACTAAATTACATGTGACGCATCGTGGTGAAATCAGGCGAACGTCAACATAATGAAATCGAAGATACTGGCATTGTTCTGCAGGTTTGCCAATTTTTATTGAATTTTTCTTCTTCAGATCAACAGCTTTTGTGTCCATATAATACTATATATATATATATATATATATATATATATATATATATATATATATATATATATTATATATATAAATATGGGCAATTCTCATAAAATCTTGAACTTTTCGTAACACGGGCATCAAATTTTAGAATTCAACAAAATATCTTGAAAATGTACTCAGTACACATTTGACATGTCTAGTTTTGACCCCTTCAAGGCTGAAGCTAAAGCTTGTTTATTTTTTTGGAAAAGTGAAGTTTAGACTAGTGCGCTCCGGTCTTAAACGTTACAGGACACAACAATGCCGGTCAAAACATGAATTATAATAGAGTGAAAGAAAAATTGATTAGACAAACACAAAGTTCTTTATATTCATTGTTTGTTCACACATATTTCAAAACATTTCTTAAAGAAAAAAAATGCTTATCAAACAATCATAATGTCTTTAATGTTACCGGGCTAGAATTATTTTTCAGAGAGAAAACTATACTTTTATTTACAAAAATCCTAGTAAGAGTAGAACTTTAAATAGGTATTGCTATAAAACAGGAAATGTAAAAGTGCAGTTTCAGCAAATATGAACAAAATCGAAAAGTGATTTTGGCAGCAACAATAGCTAAATGTGGCAGTCTTAAACGTGACAGGACAAAAGATAAAAAAGAAATGTGCAGAATAAAGGACAATTTGTTTCTTAAAAATAATAATATGCACACCTACTGAGAACTAAAATGTGTATTGAAATACTTCTTTGATGTTTTCTGTTATGTTTTTAGAAAAAGAAAGATATCAACTTATTGACTCATTGAGCATTTTATAGAGACTTCAAATTTACGCGACCAAAATCTTGTAGCAGTTACAAAGTGAAACATGAAATCCAAACTGAGCTGAAATTTATTTTCCAAACTGTCGAAGCAGCAGCAGTAGCAGAAGCAGTAGTAGTAGTAATAGTAGAAGCAGCAGCAGCAGCAGCAGCAGCAGCAGCAGCAGCAGCAGCAGCAGCAGCAGCAGCAGCAGCAGCAGCAGCAGCAGCAGCAGCAGCAGCGGCGGCAGCAGCGGCGGCAGCAGCAAGCAACAGTAACAGAATGTCAAAAAGGGTATTCATATCGCCTTCATTATTGCTA